ATTTAAAAACAAAGTTGTTTAAATATTTTTTTTTATATTTTAGTTATTTTTCTTTTCAATTTTTTAAATGTTTTATTACATGTACTTTTATTTCATACTACGCTATGTTATTCTCGTTTTTCTGAAAAATCTTGGTAATTTCACACATATTCAAACTTTCGATTGGGTCATAAACTGTCGCCTTCATGGCAATTAGTAGGCAATTTAACGTTAACAATAAACAAAACAGCTAATAAAACTTACGAACTTATAACAATAATATATTTGTTGCGAGCGCACTAACGTTTGCTCAAAAATTTGATTAGAGTACACTTTTTTTATTCCCAAGAAAAATGAGTAAGCTCCATTTTTTTGAAGCATAACCATAAAATTAAGTGGCAAGCAAACTAACTGTTTTCTGTGTCTAAAACTGTAAATTAGTGAGATATTTACAATTTTTAAACACATGCGTCCATTTGCTTAGAGGTTCAAACAAATAATATTAACATTTGTTTTTGGTTGTGCGTTCTGCTCTGTTTTTTCCATAACTATTTATCATTTCGTGTTTTAATCCTTCTTATGCGCTCATATTTTGTTGCTGAGACATTTCATTTTTAGTTTGCAAAGTTTGTTAAACTATCAAACATTTTCAAGGTAGCGAAAATTCTAATATTTCCGCAAGATCGTCAGCAAATTTTATTTTTAGCATTTGGTAGCCAAGCGTGCACTCGCAAGTAAACAAGTATTTTCCTGCGAAGCGCTCAGTAATTCGATCGACATGCGTTATTTCTCGCTAAATATTTTCTAGGTGATGCAAATTTTTGCTGCTGTTCGTCCCTCCCGCCGCTACCGCTAATTGCTGTTTTCTAATTATTTGCCTTGTTGGCATAGAAAATTGATATTTTCCCGCTTTTGCCTTTGGCGATTTGCTCATTAATGTGCTGCTAGAGGCGGATCCTGATTTGCTTAATTCGTTTGTTAACCGCTTTTGATGTCTTTTATGTCGTTAATTTACAACTTTCCGCGTTTTTAATTTCACCGCAATGCTAATAAGGATCCCCAATTAGTTGACACCTCAATTAGATGCACCACTAATTATTTGCTTGTCTTCCCCCCTCAGTTGGGCCTTATACATACATATTTCACAATTTCACCACCCTTTGTACACACTTTTTCCCAGCAATTAATTATGTTTTGTTAGCGCATAATTGGTCCTTTTACACTTGTTAAATCAATAAGGCGCGTCTGAGGACACCTTTGTGCCGCCATATTGCGCTTATTATCTGTGCTGCCTGTGGCCCACCTTTTAATTTTTTCCCTTCACTGTTGTGTGTTTGTTATTTTTTTTACTTTTTTATGTTTCGAAACAGCATTTCACTGCGCCTGACACAAGGCCAATTAAATTGTGCGTACACAGTGAGCTCTTGCTGCTTTTTTATGAGGACATATTTTTTCTTTTTTATTATACAAAAACAAAAAAGTGTTATTGGCTGGCCCCGCCTCACGCAGCAGAGCTTGACCTATAGAGAATTTTGAGTTTAGCAGTAAAAGATTTGTCAAGTCGTGATCTAAAAATTTATAATACACATGTTTGTGGTACACTTGTTGTCAAGTTCTTCATTTGACAGTTGGAATGAAACAGCTGATAGGGCGTACGGGAACAAAAATGTGTAGGTGTTATTGATTTTTTAAATATTATTAATTTAAAAATATTTTTAAATTAAACATTTAAGGAGCATACTTGAAAGAGCATTTTTGTTATTTATTTTATTTTAAAATTTTTTTAAAAGTTTTTATTTTTAGTATTTTAAATTTTAAAATTTTTTTTATGTAAAATTTTTTAAATTTTTACGCATGTTTAATTTTTCTTAATATATATATTTTTTTATTTTTTTCAGTTTTTAAATTTTATAAATTTTTTTTTACTAGAAGTCTCCTGCAAAATATATTATAAGTAAAAATTTATAACACACTTTAAAAACTTTTCTCTGCCTTTTCTTTACTTTTTATTTGTATAATATTTTATTTTTTTGTTTGTTTTACTATTTTCTACTATTTTCCAAGGCTCTTTCAAATATTTTGGGCCTGTGTTGTCATGTACGAGTATGTATGTGTATAGCTTGTTTAAATTTTCACGATTAGCTGTGTATCTGTGTGTGTTGTGATTTTTCTGTTAACTGCAGCTGTTTTTCCGGCTGGACACGAATTGCGCAAGCGCTGCGCTCGGTAGCAAAAAAAAATAAAACTGTCTCTGAGAGTGCAAGGATAGTGATTGAAAGTCACTGTAATGAGTAAACGATTATTTGTATGATACAAATATTCTTAGTAAAAATTTTATAAATTCAATAAAAGTTTGAAAGTGACTTATTTTGAAAAAAATTAAATTTATGCTAATTTTGTTGTAAATAACTGTAACTGAAAAAAGAAAAAGTTAGTTAATTTTGGTCGCCGCATAAAGGCAGTATAAAATGTATTTACTTTTGGCATGAAAAAAGTTATTAATCATTCGCAATTTTTAAGCTGACAGTAGAAAGCAGGTAAGTAGAGACGTTAGAATTTAGATTATTGCGAGAATTAAAGAAAAATTAGTAAAAAATATAATTTTTACTTTTCTTTCCTTACTTTTGACACATATTTTTAATATTTTTTACAAAAAAATGTAGTTACACTTTTTACGGTTATATTCTCGACTGTTTTTATCAATTTATTAACGGTATTTGTTTTTGCCAAGAAAAGCACCATTTTGTAGTTACCGTAAAATATCTTTAGTAGCATTGTATTACACTGCACACATACAAGCACACTTTGCCCTCTACGCTAAGCGAAGCCTAGCCACATAACGGTAAATAGAGAATACTCATACGTACAGGATTATTGCACTTGAGCACGAGTCACCGCCAAACAAACAACCGACCCACGAACACACACACACACACATAGGCACAGAAGTCTCGGATTTGACACCACCAGCAGCGCTGCTTGCGCGTTCAAGCTTCGTGTTTAGTCGTTTTTTATTTGCCTTGCTGTCTGGATGTGGATTTTCCAGCAAATAGCCAAAGCCACTCAACGTAAAGCAGAAATAAGTGAATTAAATAAATTTTAATTAAAAGTGCTAACTAGAAAAACAAAAAAATAAAACCGCTACAAACACTTTAACACATACTAAAGCGAATAACGAAACTTGCGACTCGTGTGCGTTTTGCCACTAGAGCGGCTGCAAAGCGTTCGTCGAATACAGAATTTCACAGCAAATCGAATATGCATTGAAATTGAAATAAGATTTTTAGAATTAAAAATTTAAAAATTAATGCAAATGTAAACGTTAACGTTAACGTCGCCAGCCACATAAAACAAATACAAAAAGTAATATACATACAAACAAATACCAACATACAAATAAACAAGTCTATAAAGTGCAGCATTCGGGCAGCAGCAGCAGCAGCAGCAACAGCAGCAAAATCAGCTAGCGGCCGACTCAGGTCAATCCAAACGCGTGCAACCGGAAAGAGGAAATCAAATTTGGCAAAAGTGCGACTGCTTTGCGTTGCCCAACCACGGACAGCGCAGCAGATACAAAAGCAAAAACAAAAACAAGGCGTATAATATAAAAAATATCACCAGCGGCGGCGGCAGCGCCAAGGAGCAAGCATTAAAATCAACCAAAATTCGGAGATCAGCAACTGTGCGCGCGTGTGTGTGTGTGCGTGTTTTACTGCGCGTGCGGCAGACGGGTTTTGTTTTTGTGTTTATCGCACGCCCAAAGCCGAGTACATAAATATTTGCCGTTTGGTGCTTGTGTCGCCTAAAAGCGTGCTACCGCAAACAGTTGCTGCCAGCGTGTACGCCTAAAAGCAGGCTATAGCCAAGCGTTCAACTGCAATTTTGCCAAATCTGAAACATTAAAGTATATTCGCGCTGCGAAAAGCAGACATTTTGATTGCAAACTTCTACGATTTTTCAGGTTTCCATTTGGATTTTCGTGTGATTTTAGTTATTCTAGTATCGTTATAAATTATTACTCTTGGCCACGTGTATACTCCATCGGCCGTTTAGCGAGCAAAAACAACAACATCATATGGTGTGCGGTTTGTGGGTGTCATCAGTGGCCTTTAACGCCCTCTGCACAAATAACAACAGTAAGTTAATTGTGGCAGCACCCAACAAATGTGCTAAAAACTATAACATTTTTGTTCGTAAGTAATGTGTCGGCTGAAAAGTCACATTTGGTGTTCTAGAAGGATTCGAAGGTGCGACTGGTAGCTGAGTACTTTTCGAAATTGAGCAGTAATACGTTTTTCTGCTTTAGCAGTGAATATTGAGCTAAGGCTAATGCTTTTCTATCAATTATCGTACGGATAGGATACTCAAAACATCGATATTGCTTTTAGTAAAATTTACGCAATTGATTTCGAAACGTGATAATACCACAATTATGTGAATCTTTCGATGTTTGTTTGCATTAAATAATTCTGTGTAGTAGTTTTCAAAAAATGTGCTTACTTTTTCTTAATCTCGTTTATATCTATTGACAAAACACGAAAAGGCTGTCGACTACCCATATTTATAAGTTTTCTTTCGAAGAACGCAGAATTGCGTACAAATATTTATATTAATCTCAAAAATATTAATATTTATGCCGAAACTCGTTAATTTATAAAAAGAATATAATTTTTAACTTTAGAAGCTTCAGAAATACTTTAAAAATTACAGGTTTAAAAGATTTTTTCAAAGTACAAAACAATTGTGGGCACTTCATAAAATTTATTAATGTTATTATGTGAAAGAACCAAATTTGCAAAAAATTATTTTTTCGAAATTACGTTTTCTATTTCCAAAATTCGAAGTTTTGAAATTATAAAATTTTTCGAAATTAAGTTTTCTATTTAGACAGAGTTAAAATTATAATATTATTTGTGTTACAGTTACAGTTAAAATTATATAATTTCTTCGAATTTTCGAAATAGAAGACTTAATTTCTAAAAATTATATATTTGTGCTCAAATTTGTATACAAATAAATAATGCATATACTCCCCTATTTTTTACAACGAATACAGGTATTTGGAAACATTTTTAGTAAATAATACGCTGTATAATAACACTAGTTTACAGATTACAATATTTTGAGCTGTAGTCTAGGGTTGTAGGGGCCAAACCACCTCCATTTACTGAAATGCCAAAGACAGCTGGACGTGTAGTGTAATTACTTATGTTGCTTGTATGCTAGTCTTTCAGCTTTGTAGCGTTAATATCATGAACTTTTATTATACTATATATATACAAAAGTTATAGTTTTTGTAACGTTGTAATACAACACCTAAAATGAATTTTGTGTTAAATTGATTATAGATTATCGTATGTTAAATTGTTTTCCATGCAATCGCTTAAATCACCCCGCCACCCTTTCAATACCCATGTCATTCACTTTCCTACGCTGAGCGTAAAATTGCTTTGCTGGCACTTTTTATTGTTGCTTGAGTGCCTGCCTCCCTTCAGAAGTGAAAAGCTCAACCTGCATGTTTCCTCATTATGCTATCTTTTACAGTTGCTTCAAATCTCGTGTAATTAATTTCTGTTTTCGTTTATACTTTTTGCTTTTGATGTCTTTTCTAATTTGCTTTTATTTTTTTTCATTGTAAGCTTTAAATTGCAATCAATTTACTTGCGTATCTTCACTTGAAAGGATTCCCCACCCACATTTTCGACTTCTTCGTGACTGAATTGCTGCTTTGTTATTGCTTTGTTCGCTGATTGTTGGCTACTCGTATTTTCTGCAAATTTTGCAATTTTCGTGCTTTTGTTTTAAACTGTTGTTTGTCTCTTAAATGCATCACTTCGTTATATTCATTGCATTCGCATACGCAGGGTTTCCATTTTATGCTTCGTTTATTCGCCGAACGTTCTTGCTCCTCGTTCATAGTATCATTTGTCCGGCATCAGCGGCATTACACGCACTACTTAACCATATCCGCTTATGAGTATACATACATATATGCATTCGGACATTCAGGCATTCATACATATGTATGCTTTTTAATATGTCCTATAAAATGCACACAGATTATTACAGTTGAGTTTGCTGGCTTGCTGGCTTGCATTTTGTTTAATTAATGTTCGAAATTCGAATATTCACAAATTCAATTCTGTATTAAAATTTTTCATTTTGAAATTTACATATGTTCGAATGGAGAGTTTCATTTCATGTTGACATTTTTGATCGAAATGAGTTTGTGATTATTTAAACTCGTTCGAAATTCGAATATTAGGGAATTTAAATTTTTCATTTCTCTATTATTAAAAAATTTATTTTCGAAATTCGAAGTTACCGAGGCTCTTCATGAAAACCGTTTCAGCGCTTACATACATATTTTTCGAAGTTTTGGTTATTTCGAAATTTGGTTTAACGAATTTTGATTTTGAAATTTATATTCGAAATTCGAAGTTACAAATTTTTCGTAGTTTTTGTTATTTCGAAATGTTTAATTTTACGTTTTTACATTATAAATTTGAATAGAATATTTTCCAAAATTGGTTGTATACATTTAAATGTCTGCTTATTTTCACGTTCTCTGCGCTTAAGACTTACCATTTGCTGTCCTCGCGTTATTTGAATATTTAGCATTTCTTCTGACGTTAACGGTAGTTCTATTATATTTTCCTTCCTTTCCAATAAATCTGCTGTTTTGCCGCAATGTCCTTGACCGTTGCCGTTACCTCAAACGCGCCTAACCTCAGTTTGCTCTTCAGCCGCCACAGCCTACCCACTAAAACGTGCCCAAATGCTGCTGCCTCTAACACTTGTTGTGCATGAGCTCTGCCGTCACGGTACTTTTTTCTTCCATTTCATTCGACGCTTTGCGCGCTGACACGGCATATCTACCACTTTTGTGTGGAATTATAAATTTTTTACAACTATTTTCCACTCTATTTTATTCCTCATTTGTGACATTGCGTTTTACAACGTATTTGCTTACGCTACGCAGCGTTGCGTTGTGTGTGTATGTTGATCCTTTTTAATTAAGCAAAATATATAGTGCTGATTGCCAAGTAAACAGGCATGCTATTTCCTTTGCGCCCAACAGCAGGCTTTGGATTTTTGAATAATTTATGCAGTGAAGCGTGCGAGTAGGTCATACGCTGTGGGGGATGGGGTGTTGCTGCTATGCATTAAGTCAAACAGTATGGTACAAATCACCGGGGAGCACATTCAACTAGCGGTTAGAAAATACTGTTGACAGCCTTGGAACACATATGTACATATATATGTAAACTTACATATACATATGTGACCAAATTGGCGACACTGTAGCCCACAGCTAGGCGCGAAGGGGGCTTGGTTTGTTTAGTTGATGTGTCATTAATAGCACTGCGGCTACTTTTAGTTGGTTTACTTAAATATCAGGTGCGAAAGTCAATACATTTAGGGGGTTACTTTTACTTTTGACTTATGCACGTGTTTATTAAAGTGTTCAAGGTTCTGTAACTGCTTTGCATTAAATATTAATATGAAAAATTGCCGCTGACCACGGCACTTTCACTAGTAACGGATGGCTTTGAAGGCTGCTAAATTGGTAACCGTTCTTATTAGGCAATCCACATGCAAATAACAGATGACTAATTTGACAGTTGTCATAATTTAATTTTAGAAAATACAGCAGAGTGCGTAAATTATGGAAATTTAATAAATTCATTTATAAATATATTATTAAAAATTATTTGTTAATTTTCAATGACAATATATAAATACACGGTTCTTTATTTGCAGAAACACCAGTATTCAAAGGAGCACCACCAACTCCACCTCAACGGAGCAAGTTGGTTAGTTCGTGCATGAATTCACATAGGCGATACTTAAGTCATAGGTAAGCTATACACAATCTTTTCGCGTTTAAACATAACACATTTTAGTGGTCATAAAGCGGCTAAGCCCTAAAAAAACAGAAGCAAATAGAAAAATATTTAAAAAAATTGTCTCAGCATCCGTGCAAAAAAAGTCAAGTAATCAGTAGCGAATTAAATTTTCCAGCTTAATCGGCCATTAATTTCTCCACATATTTAGCGTGTGTGCGGATATTTAAGCAATTTAAGTGCTTGCTGGCTGCCACCATCACACCAGCAGCACAGCAAGGCGTTCTCTGTGTGCGTTAGGTGCCTGAGTGGCGTTGTTCCTTTGCCCCACTTTATGACGCTGTGTGTCGTTCGTTCTACTTAACACTGGTTGACATCGCTATGTCAAGAATTTCATTCAATTTTTTCATTTATATATCATGTCAAACAGAGGGGATTACAACATGTTGGTGCGCCTAATGGCTGCCAGCGCTTTATTGTTGCCACTATTGGCAACTGGTATGTCTGTGTTCTTTGTAGATCATAGATAAATCAAACTCATGCCGCTTCTAGTGCAGGGCTGGTGCGCGCTTATGTAGACTTCTATCGTATTTTGCCTCAATTCTTATTATTGATTGTTTGGGGCATTATGTTAGAAAATTTAAAGCTTTTGTTGAAAGGTTTTCAATTTTCGGCCACATTTTCGTTAAAAAAAATAACATAAAGACACCGCAGTTCTTAACATCTAAAAGGAAACGTCCGACTCATAGTAAAAAAGTAATCAGCGTGCTTTTCTGTCTGTATATACCTACAGTTTTTGAGATATCGATCTGAAAATTTGCACATGACCTTCTTGCTTTAAAAAGTTGCTCATTTGTCGGAATCGCCGATATGGGTACACTATGGCACCTGCCTGCCATACAAGCTGGACGATCAAAATGAAGTCCTTGGATATAAAATCTTTCTTGATTGATAAGATATCCTTACGAAATTTTTGAATGGATTATTGCCCAAAGCAAATTTGTTCAACTCGAACCATACTTTTTAAAATAATTTTTTCTAATTTTTTTTTTAATTATTTTTTATTTAAGCAATTTACAATTTTTCTAATATAATTTTTGTTTTCAAATAATTTTTTATTTAAATAATTTAAAATTTTTCCGATCTAATCTCCGCCTGTGTTGTCAACTCTCTTTCAGGACTTCAAAATTTTCCAGTAACAGACATCGGAAGCTGCAACCTTTTAGAGAAACGTGAGCCAATCGCACATCATTAGGCACCACGTTTTCCAATTTTTCCAAATATTTATAAAACATTAATTGTAATCCAGATATCTAGCAGCAGCAAACATATAGCACTAAAACTGATAAATGTAAAAAAACAACTAAAATAAAACCATCTTTCATAAGATACAAAAATATTTACAAATATATTTAACAAAAAAGCCCAAAAATTCACTTCCAACCTCAGAGTGGGGTGAAAATTGCATAAAAGTTTCAAAAACTGGAGATTTGTAAAGCAGAACACATAACAGCAAACAACAAAAACAATATAAACAAGCAAATACTGAATAACAGCCAAGCGTGATTTCCAATTGCGCATTGTGTTTTGATTCAAAATCGAAGTAAAATCCAAAAACTAACAAAAAAAAGCACACAGCCGTCAAATAGTAGTAAATTGCAAAAAATTTAAGGAATAGTGGAAGCAAAAGAAACCGCAGCGGATATTAACAAGAAAATCATCATAGCAACAGCAATAGCACCGGAAATCAACACCACTGTCATAATTAGGAACCAATACCAAGCGCCAATTGAAGTGAAAGGAAAAGCGAACTTCATGAATTTATCAATAAAGAAATACAATAAATCAAAAAATAAAAATTTAAGTACCATAACGTCTTCGGCATCGTCTTGGAGGGCGTTTCGGTGCTACGACGTCGAAACGACAGCATACAACGTAGAAGAGCAAGCGTACGCCGCAAGCAGAGCAGCAGCTGCCGCAGGATTCACAACTAACTTACTGATGTACAGTGCCATCAATTGGTCACCTTGTTGAGGTTGAACGCTGAATGCGAACGTAAGCCATATATTATATTTATATAGTATAACGGCTAGAAAGCGCGAAGCGAAGCAGCAAAACGAAGTGCGTATCGTCGAAGAAACTCGTACGCAACGCACGAGAGTTGTCGGAAATCGCTAAAGCAGAAATCAAAAGCAAAATTTTAATTTTCAGCTAAATCTGTAGCGTTTATTTACCCATTCTCAGTTTTTATATGAAAACAAGAACAACAAAATCAACAGCAGAGAGTAGTAGTAGCAGAAATAAACTCTAGAGCCAGCCAACACATCGCGAGACAGCAAAGTGTGAGCCGCAAACTAAAATAACCATTAATAATAAAAAATTTATAAAATTTAATATCACCGAGCCGCGATCGCAAGCTCTGCACTTTCGTCGACGTAACAGTTAGAAGGAATATTGCCAAAATTACGCACAACAAGCAGCGCGATTTATTATATACTGTATACCTTTACAATTCTTCTATACGCAAAAAACGCAAAGCAAAACGCCAACCACAACAACAACAACAGTCAATCAAAAACATTATTCAAAAAACACAAATAAAATTAATATAAAAACATCTAAGGAAGCACAGTAAAAAGGAAATAGCAAAAATGGGTTCCGTTAATGTGAATCGTAATGTCACCGACATTTTCTACCGTTATAAAATGCCACGCTTGCAAGCTAAGGTCGAGGGTAAAGGTAACGGCATCAAAACCGTTATTGTTAATATGGCTGAAGTGGCACGCGCCATCGGACGTCCGGCTACCTATCCGACCAAGTATTTTGGCTGCGAATTGGGCGCTCAAACACAATTTGACTACAAGGTAAGACATTCTGGGCGGAAGTTTGTTTTGCAATGTTAGCTGGGTCACAGAAGTTATTAATAACGCACTTTTCTTTGTAGAATGAACGTTTCATTGTAAATGGCTCCCACGATGCCAGCAAATTGCAGGATCTGCTCGATGGTTTTATACGCAAATTCGTCTTGTGCCCGGAATGCGACAATCCGGAGACCGATTTAACCGTCTCGGCTAAGAATCAAACCATTTCGCAAGCATGCAAAGCTTGCGGTTTTCATGGTCTCTTAAAAGTCAATCACAAGGTTAACACGTTCATTTTGAAGAATCCGCCAACCGTCAATCCGGCTGCACAAGGCTCCTCATTGACCGAAGGTAAACGTTCGAAACGCGGCCAAAAGAAGAATGGTGAGAATGGCGTGGATGGTGATAAAGGTGCCAGCAACTCGGGTGGTGAGTCGGATGGCGGTAGCGGCAATCAGGCCAGTCAAACCGAGGCGGAAATTAGCGCTGCCATACCGGAGAAGAATGGTGATGACGATGATGATGATGCCAACTGGAGTGTCGATGTGTCTAAGGTAAGTTGAGGATTGCGTAATTAAAACGCATACAAATCAAAACTTTCTTCTTTTCGCCACATTAGGAAGCCATACGCGCTCGCTTGCAAGATTTGACCGACGGTGCCAAGGGCATGACAATCTCTGATGACTATGATAAGACCGAAAAGGAGCGCATTGACATCTTTTATGAGTTGGTCAAGAAGAAGCGCAATGCCGGTGAGCTCGACTCTGTTGCCGTACACAAGGAGCTGATGATCGAAGCTGAGCGCCTTGATATTGTGCACAAGGCAACGCTGGTCTTAGCCGAGTTACTCTTCTCCGACAACATCACACAGGAAGTGCGCAAGAATCGCAATCTCCTGCTGCGTTTCACACACAACAATCCTAAGGCACAACGTTATCTCATCGGCGGTTTGGAGCAGATAATCGCTTTGCATGCGGCCAAACTGATGCCCAAGGTAGCTGGCATTTTTAAACTCTTCTACGATTCGGACATACTCGAGGAGAAGTCCATACTGGAGTGGTCACAGAAAGTGAGCAAGAAATACGTTTCAAAAGATTTGGCTACTGAGATACACGAGAAAGTCAAACCGTTCATACAATGGCTGAAGGAGGCCGAGGAGGAGGAATCTTCGGAGGAGGACGAAGACGATTCCGACGTGGAGATTGAGTATAACGATCGCGCACGTGTAGAGCCATTGAAGGCAGCCGCTGTGGCCACTGCTGCCAAGAAGATTGTCGAGGATGATGACGAGGGCGATGAAATCGACATCGACGACATATAAAGAGGGTGTGGAGAAAGAGCAGCAGCAGTAGCGTATGCGCAGTTCAAGGCAGCGGTGTTTTTTTTGTTTAAGTTTGGACTTTATGCGCTCTCGTGCCAATTAGGCATGAAAAAGCAGCGTACTGCAGAGCACCACATTGTCTTTCACACGACGCATTACATTTTCACTGTCTCTCAGTCTACAAATATTCCAAATTTTAACATATTTTTTCGCAACATATCTGCTTTACGCGGCGCTCGCTGTACACAACAACAAAAACATCCTAACTGCTGCAAAAATTATCGGTTATTCTCTTTTCTATATCATTGAAATCTTTATTTTTTGATTTATGACTTTATTATATTTAAGCTTTTTCTGTTAACGGTATTTACACGTAATTTCAAACGGCAGAAACTAAAGACGCAGCTTCGATTTTGTCTCGACACTATACAAACACAGTATACAGAAAAAAATATTTCCACTTACTAAAAAAATGTATAAATAGTATTTTAACGGTACTTATATGCCAACTCCGTACACACATATACGCCATATTGTTCTGTCTACGCTTTCCACACGATAGAAACGCCGAGTGCTTACTTTTCCGAAAAAATACTTTTGCACTAATACCGAAGCCAAAACGTTGCAGAAAGCTCAATTATTAAGTAACACATACTTACACTCACCCTATTTTCCAATACTATCCATATTTGTCGCAACAGTTGAACACACAACAAGGAAAAGGGCACCGCAAAGCTTTTGCGTTTTTCGAACTGTCGTAAATTTTGAAATTTATTATGCAAGTAAAAAATGTAAAAAAAAACACAAAATATAAAAATGTAAAAAAAAACAAAGAAATGCTGTTACTTACTGAAAAGTTAAAAAAACGTGACTGACTGTATTTGGAGAATATCGAATGATTTTCAAATAAACAAAAAATAAAAAAAGTCCCAACAGCAACATGCCTGATGTCAAGGATCAAGGATAATAAATATTATCATCAAATTAAAAATTGTATAGTAAAAACCAAAAATATTTTCTGTAGTTAGTGCATATTTCGCAGAGGCATACAAATAGAACCCGAATTCTGGGGAATATTTACATGAGGACCGTTATAGCTGTGAAAAAGCAGACTTAAGGATATTTGTAATAATAATCAGAATCAGAACCTTAGTGATGGCGCAAAAAAAAAAAACGGATTACGATTTCTACTGATTTCCTTCATGTAATTTTTTTTAACGGTAAAAAACCTGTACTTTTAATACACTAAGTTACTCATATATCGTAATTTCAGGCTTATTTTTCAAATCAGCCTCAAAATCTTATGAAACGGTCGCAATTTTAGCCAGCAACAGCTTATAATGATATCGTTTTATGAATATCATGTGATGCTAGTTGGAACTGCAGAAACTGCTTGGAACCCTTATGCCAATATTAACCGAATTACAAAAAGAAAAACCAGGAAAGGGTTATCCTACTTTTTCGCCACAACAGTAACCAATGCAAATTACTTCTAGGTTTCTGACCTATACAATCGTGCCGTTTTGGGTGAGTATGGTCAACTTGTTGTTGTTGTAGCGGCTGAAAATATCTGCAGTAATTTGAGCGCAAGATCTGTTTAGTTCTGCAGATCGAGGTTACGAGATAAATGTGCAGCGGAAGATTTATGGGTCCTTGCGCGTCGGCCACGGCGAATATCGAATACGATGACATTGACATATTTCAGCGAATTAAAAGACCGCGACTACGCTGGCTAGGTCATGTCATCCGAATGGACCAAAACATTCGAGTTCTGAAAGTATTCGAAACAGTACCCGCCGGGGAACTTAGACTTGACTGATTGATCTATACATGCGGAAAGCTTGAATTGCTTCTTAAATCGTTCAAAACTACGTGTTGGTCTTGTAACAGACTGAAACACTTTGCTAACTTGACGTTTACATACTTACGTTCTTTGTGGCACGCATGAGATTAACTGTTTTGTTTATATCTTGAAGTTAACTCTTAAAAACTCGATATCATACTGATTACACCCTGTCGAAACGGCTCGTTTCGTGCACTTACAGCGAGCCCGAAAATCACGCTCTTCGTTGAAAATATCACATGTGTTCTAAAATTTCTTCGCAGGAAAATTGCAACGTAAAATTCTCAAAACATTTAAGTAACATCAGTGCCCTGGGTAGGCAACAAATTGCAGCAATTCTACAAAAGCTGCCGGCTAAAAAGTGTATCCTCCGTTATTCGCTCGAGAGAAAGCTTTCTTTTGCGCACGAACACAGTGACACCAAGCATGAGACATGATGAAATGGAGTGTATAGAGCACATAATACAAGGTGAGCGTAAAAATGTGAAGAGCGAGCATACCTGTAAATGTTGTTGTTGCTTTTAGTTGTGTTGTGAATGTTCTTGTGTTTTGTTGTAATTACAATCGGTTAACCGTTTATATGAGCTGTTGCGAATTCGAGCTGCTCAGTTGGTGCGTGGCGTTGCGACAGTTTGTTAGCGGCTCATTCCTGCCTTGCCGAAGACATGAATATTTAATGCACGGAAATTGAAATGTATTCAACATACGAACACACATGCGGGAATAAATTGCTTGCTTCGTGAGTCGTGTCGTAGTGTGGGCATGAAAAAGAAAAGGAAAAAATTATTCATTAATTGTTAATATTTAAACAAAGTGTGAAGCAAACAAGAATCTGTGAAAACTAAAAGAAAATAACAAATTTGTGCAAAAAAATAAATATTTCGCTTTGTGCGTAGCAGCAGCGGAAGAACTTGAGAGTAACAGAATAAAGTAGGCAGCCGGAGTATTAGCTGAGCCACGAAAAACGTGTTCCGAGCTTAAGCGTGAGCGGGCTGGTGGCTGGCGGTGGCTGCGGCAGCATAAGATCAATAAAATTCAACACCGGTGTAGGCAGCACGTCACAAGCACACACCTATCTGCTTAAAGAAACGCACGACCGACGAGAATTCGGAAGTGATTAAACGTAAGTGCATCTCATTATTTATTTTATGCAATTTTGTTTTCTGTATCAGTGTGTGCTCTTCATGAAAACTTATAATTTTTTTTTGCGCTCTTCGAATGGTCTTATACATAACAAGTTTTTGCTGAACGAAGTGCCAGCGTTATTTGAAAATAATGCTTCTATAACTTCTAAAAATCCATACACAACTTTATATTTTATTGTTAATAGCCTACAATGTAACGAGAGTACCCATTTTGCCAAAATGTTGAAATAAATGTTCCGTAGTCCGTTATCCGACTAAGGGGTTATCCACTAAGTCATCATTTATGGGTTCTAAACGCTGTTGCAGCTGTTAGGGAGAGAAGTTGTATTTATTGCTTCCAAATTATTTAAATTCGTACGCTAAGTCTTCCAAATTTTTCGCGAGATCTATCGCATAACACATTAATAGCAGGTTGAGGAGTAAAAAAACATTCGCTTGAACATCAGTTTCGACCTCAAAAAACATTAAGTGATTATATTTAGCTCAGTACTTTATTTCTGAAGCGTATTATGGCTTCGTTAACTTTTTTTAAATTTTTTTTACTTATTTGACTTCCAAGTTACTAGTAAGCGATATAAGAATATATACTTATATTTTTCCACTAAATTTTCGATATGTTGTCTCTGATTACTTGGAATTTATGCACACTTCTTATTTATTTACAACCCATTCCCCGCAATTGATTTATTTTCTTTACCAGCAGGTGCAGATCTATGTATGTATGTACATGTACATGTGGTACGTGTTGGTTTTTATTGCAAATAAACTCTGGAGTTTCTACACTAATCAAGAATTTCAATTGAAATTTTGTTGTTTCGTTATTCTCCCTTTCGCTTTTCATCAACAATTTTATTATGTTTTGCAATCAATTGAGTGGTCATAAAAAACTTTGCACGCGTTTCCAGGTTATTATATAAATATAGATATGTTAACAAAGATATATGTATATACATACAATGAATTCTTAACGCATGTTAGAAACCAGTTGAATGAAATCTAAATGTCACATTCACATATATGTGTATATGTGTGCATATGAATATTTGCATAAAAATCCTATATTTTCGCATACGTCCAAAGAAGCGTCCTGCTATTTATAAACGAAATGCTTGTTCTTTCACGCATCATTATTCCATACGCAACTATGTATTGTTATAACACGTTTTCGACGTCTTAGCTTGAAAATAGCTGCTTTTATAGACCGTACCGAAGTTCACGTACATATAAACAGTTTTAGCCAACAAAGGGCAGCAAGCTTGCTAATGATGACTTGTAAATATTTTTATACTTCTGTTAACTTATGGCGTCCATGCATCTGTCTCAAATGCAGCCTGTAAGCTCTTGAAAGGCTTTTTCACAAATTCTTTGCTTGGCCAGCTGGTTTGTGTGCATTTCATATCTATTGGGCTTATGGCTTGCTTTACTGAGTAAAATATTGCCGCTTTTGACGCAGCGTCAAATGAGACTCCATCAGACACTTTCGGTAATTTTCTATTTATTTATCGCGTTGTGATGAAATTTATTGCAGGGCTTTTTTAGGTGACGAGTTTATTAGTCTTGTGGGGAGGTAGGGCTGCTAATTAGCTGGGTTTTTATTAAATAAAATATATTGATTGAAGTGGTGATAACTTGACTTCAATTGAATTTATAATAACGAAGTAATATGGCGTTCAGACTTGTGCAAAAATTCAACAACCGCAAAATATTATTTCTACTATTATAGGTAATGTTCCGCTGTACTTACGACTTTTAAAGCTAAAGCTTTAATTGCAAAGGCGATTAAATAAATTCAGCACCACTATGTGTCGTATATTCGGTAAAAAACATTTCCAACGCTTGATTATGCATAAATACATGCTTGCATTTCGCAGCGGCAAAAATAATTATATTTAATATACACATAAAATCATAAACAAATATACACACTTAATTATCTCAATACTATAAACTAAAAAGGCACTTAACTTTAAAATACGACGGTCAAGCAATTAGTTTTTTTGTAACAATTGTTAATAGAGCAATAAATAAAAGGATTAGATTTAATCTATATACATATATTTAAAAAAGAAACATTTACAAACGCAGTCAGTTGATCGACACTAATGAAGCATATTTCTTGAGTTTTATATCATGAATGCCTCGTCTTTTATAGTACTTACCGACTGATGCTCATATGTACTTACATGTTTATATATATGTATGTGCATATACATATGTATCTAGTATAAAAAATCAGTAAATAATTTGCAAAATCACATTTCATCCAAAGCACTAACACTTCTTAGAAGAAGTACTTGATTTTCTTGTTATTAGCTATTTATTTATTACGTTGTACATACAAATATAATATATCACTGTCAAGGCTTTTAAAAGGGAACAAGAAATGTTTTGTAAAATTTTTTAACTGCTCGTACAAACGTTGGCAAATGATTAGCGAGAAAATCACATTCTATAAAGAATATTCTTCATAAATCGATATAAAAATATCGTTTTAATAATGAAAAGCAACAACAAAATATGTACACCCGAATAGTAACAGAAACATAATTTTAAATAATCTGTATAAATAAAGAATAATTGATAAGTAACTGTTACGACCGCTTCTACATGTAAAGATTTTTAAGATACAACTTTATAAAACAGAAACAGAAAATGTATAGGTTTCTGTTTTCGTTACTGTTGTTGTTTCAGTTATTAATTTGAATTTTTAATTCTCATAAAAGAACCATGAAAACATAATAAAAACTTAAGATGAAATAAATTTAGTAAAATGTGATATACTATATTATAACTATTCAGCAGTAAAGTTATTGTTTATCCAAAAAGTCATTAATTTATAGAATATGATTCATATTTGTTTACTTATCTCCTATAAACGCGTGCAAGTGCTAAAGTGTTAATTAGCGCTACTTGAAATCGAAAGCAGTGCTTTCCGACGGACATATTT